TCAAAGACACTTCAAGCTTGGCCGGCTCTGAAAAAATGGGACAAGATACTCATCGATTACACACTTCGGAATCTTACCTACCCCAGCGACAGGCTCCCAGCAATAGCAGGCCTTATCGCTCACTATTCACAACTTATGAATTGGACGAATAACTGGGGACTGTGGAAAGACCATTTGACTATCGAGTTACTGTGGAAAGTCTTCTCCAACACGCGTGGTCCACATCGCAATACAGCATGGCCGACCTGGTCGTGGATTAGCATACAAAGCCAGGTATCACTAGGTGGTAGATTCGAGGGCTTCCTTGCCGAAGCCCATTTTGATGAACTTGATGACTCCGCTGTCATCCTCCATGGTGTTCCATTCGAAATATCAGAGCTCGACCCACAGACCTACAATTCATTGGAGGCAGACACGCGGAAAAGGAAGAAAGGTCTGAGCAGCATTGAATGGGATACCACTGATACAAATCTCGCCGGCCGTCCCTTCGGCGTGCCTTTGACGTGGGCATACCTTCGAGAACATTCTCAGCCAAATAGTGACAGAGTCATTCTGAACGGCCTTTGCTTGGTTGCGGATGGTTCCACAGGTTCATATCGACGTTGTGGAAGCATCTTTTTCGACACAAACAAGACCACTGCTCGCCAATACGACATCCGCTTTCAATCAAAACAGGTATTTCGCATCGTCTAAATCAGACATATGAACAACAACCTGTATTGGAACTATGGTTGCATTAATCACATCTGTCTGGCGACTTTCCCTGCCTCAGCTTGCATGAAGCAAGGTCTCTCTTTCCCTGCATGGCAACGATCCCTTGCCCCAAGCTTACCGAGGAAAAAATCAAAACGCAGGGCCACCCACGATGCTCGCCACCGACTCGCGCTCGGCAAAGCGGGACGGGCAACGGTTCCTACTAGACTCTCGATTCCGAAGCCATGGTAGAACCGGAAGCCTGAAAAGCTTAGCATCCTATTCTTTTGATGATTCTATATGCGAACTTGCGGCATAGCCCCTCATTCTAACCTGCAATGCTAAGCAATTCTCACATATGCAACAACTGTAGTGACTGAAAAGTTTCAAGCATATATTTGCTTCCTAGAGATTTGAAATCTAGATACCGGGTACAATATGTACTTCTTTGACGCAATGTAAAACCGTGTATATACACTCCTAGGCGCCGTCATCGCGCCTGTCCTATCCTGTTCCAAACAAAAAAGAAGACGTAAGTGAGAAATTCTCCTGTGTCGCATGTCATTAATGGTTCCCAATCCTGACCTACAAATCCAATTCCGAATGAAGCAATGAGGCGGAAAAATCCTGACCATGAGTGATGCGGATGAAAAGCCTTCTATCGCAGAAAGAACGCCGTCATAATGCATATGCAATTCCATGATGCTTGTGTTGTTTGACAAAGGAAAATGTGTTTCGCTACACCTGCCATTACGCGGTGATAAACGCCGCCATCATAGCCAACACACCACTCAAGATGGCATAGTTGGCACCACCGATCGGGGTCGAAGCGGCATTACTCTTCTTCGACTGTGTGCCGTCTGGCTTGAGGACGGCGGTAGTGCCTAGTTGGAAGCCAATGTTGGCTACCACAGCTTGGCTGTCCCGGACAGGGACAGAGATTCTACCGTTGCCATCGGCTGTTGTAGTTGTGACTGTGTTCTCAGCAACGGATGACGCGCCAGTGGTGTCGTCGTAGCTCATGCCGTTCCATGTGACGCCTGTCTGTGAGTCTGCGCCGGGAGCTGTAAGGTAAGAGACGTATACTTCTTTATTGGCGTTTGCAGAGCCGAGGTTGAGGTTGAAGGTGAAGCTGCCCTTGTCCGATGAAGAGGCATTCACTTGCTTTGCGTTGATCATGGTGACAGCTTGAAGCTTGTCGTTTGCGTACGCTGCGTATGCACGGATGCGGCCGTCGTACGCGGCACCTACGTTGCTTGTAGAAAGAGCAGCAATCTGTGTGGTTCCGTTGCCGTTGCCAACAATCTGCGCGACGGCAGCATGGGCATAGTACTGTGGTCGTACGAATGTGTTCTGACGGCCATAGATAGGGATAGGTGCCCAGGCACTGGCATTGGAGTTATCGGTCATGTGCATCTGGACCGAGGAGATGCCGATGGATGCTGCATAGAGGAAGAAGTTGAGGGTCCAGAGAGAAGCACCAAAAGCGTCACTCACACCGGGCATGCCTATGGGACCAACGGAGCTCATCTCACGCAAGACGTAGGGGTGCTTTGTGTTGAGGGCAATTCCGACCTGCTTCTCCCAGTATTTGAATTGTGTGTTAGTAGCATCGAGATCCATGAGATCGTCGAGGGTGAGGGGTGTTGGGGTAACTCCGATGACTACTTGATGTTAGTACAGCACAGAGAGCGGACTCGTCGAGATATAGCATACAGTAGAAGTAGTCGTGCTGGTTCCAGGTGGCCAGGAAGTTATCACCGTTCCTGCCCTCCATAATGCCATCGTCCACGAGCTGCGCAATCTCAAACGTGGTTCCGATGGTGGAGGCGGTCGCAGGAGACTCGAAGAAGGAAGACGGTAGGCCAGCAGCCTTGAGCACGCGCTCGTAGACGACCTCGCAGCGGTCTAACCATTGGCTTGTGTATGTCTGTCCATCCCAAGGCGCAGAGCGGAAAGAGTTCTGTAGCCACAAATCGGGCTCGTTGCCAACCTCAAACGAGTATAGTTTGACGTTGTTCATGCCATCGACGGCGGCCTGGGCCAATGCAGCAATCTTGTCTTGGTAGTCGTCGTCCATGTATGCCATGTTCAGTCCGAAAGTCACGGGAGTGTCCTTGGGGAAGCGGTCGAGCGCTTTGAAGTAGTTGGGTCCAATGATCATAGAATCAGCGGCAATGGCGCCCTGTGCCGTCGAGTCTTCGTTTGAAATCCAGGCATATTTTTCGTTGCTCGACTCAAACACCATGTAGTCCTGCGTGTTTCCTCCTAACCGGATATGCGGCGGCGCGCCCGAGTAATCTGCGAGATTCTGTAGCAGCTTGACGGAGAATTGGTTCGTTTCCTCCTTGCCAGTAAAGGAAAAGAGGTTCGAGGGCTCAATGCCGAAGCCAGCATACGAGGGGTCGAGGTAGTCGGAGGCGCCATCGGGCGGGCTGTTCCCTAGCGATATGGAGATGGACTGGGCGAGGGCAAGGCGCACGGCGGGTAACGACAGTATGGCTAGACTGCTGGCGGACAACGAGGGGAACATGGCTGCTGATAGGAGCCGTCCGGATGCAAGCGAGTGCAGACAGTCGAAGAAGAAAACAAGAACAGCGGAAAGTAAAGTCAAGACTAGCAATCAGTAAAAGCGAGCGCAGGGGAGGTTATCACAGGAAACGGAGAGCGAGGGACATGCAGCCAGGGTCGATGATGAATGGACGCTTGCAGGACGACCGGGGTTAAAGGAAGTGTCAACACTTTCAGACATGCGTCACTAAATGGGCCAAAAGTGGCGCCGGTCCGGGCGATGCCAGAGACGACGCGCCAGACTCAACAGCACATGACATCACGAGCCGCCATGCTTCCGGACGCTGCGACACCAAGCAAACCGGTCTGAGACGCGCGACCTCTGACAGCAGGTGGGCCGCTGAATATCACATCCCACACTGCTGCCCTCACCCATCCAGCAGCGTTGCGCGTTGCACTGGAAAAAAGAGGATAAACGCGTCAGCTACTGCCGACAACACTCCGTGTTCCAATTATGGTGGCTGCCTCAGATCTGCACCCACGCCAATCTGAGCGGCTACCGAACCCTTAGCCACAATGATCCGCGGCAGGAGGCTCAATAAGCCTTGTTTCGCCATGGCCCCGAATCCGCATCATCGTCCGTTCCTCGATCCTGTGCCGTCTTACCCTCGCACCAGGCCTCGTCATGGGCCCTTGAGCGCCGTGGATCTTCGCGGCTCCCTGACCACCGTGGAGCGCGCGGTACGCCTCCTACGCACTGAGGGCCCTGACGCACAGCGTCTGGATAATCGCAATTCAATATTCTCTCCCGCGCGCCCGTCCTGCCTACACTACCCAACCCCTGCTCCCGTTCGCTGCGTCCACATTGGCCCGTTGACAAGACCGCATGCAGGCTACTGGGAGCTTGATTTATTGCCCAGCCTCTTCCAGCTCTCCACCCCAGCCCCTTCGTAACAGCCGTAGCTGCTTTCACTCCCGCCTACCTTTTGATGATGCAAAGGGGAAAACTTTCTTGACAGCACGTTTGCTAGCCTCAAAGTTTGACGTGACTAGCAGCGCCTGCCATCATCTAGCTTTCTGCACCTATAATAGCACCAGGTCTCGAACACGACCACCGGGCATTCTCGTCCGCCCTTGTCCACGATGCCTTGGCTGCCGTCTGATGCCGAAACCCTGACTTCAAACAAGAGCTGAAGAACCCGAGTGCATACTCGGTGTACATCTTGCAGGAGGCAAAACGGATGTCGCGGCCTTTGTAAAGGTAAGCTTACACCATTACGGTACATGTACAACACATGATGCTCAGAGAGGCGTCGCTTGCAAAGACACGGCCAAAACTCCCCGTGTTGGGCACTATCTGATCCGCCATTTGCCTACTACTAAAATACAGCTCTTACTACCGCATGACTATGATGCGCATCTGATGCAGCAAAATCGAGCTACGTCCATCTGATAAAGAAACTTGCTTGTAGAGAATTTTGTCGAACATGTCAATGCCGTAGTTCCGACATGGCATTGATTGTATGACGTATAGCTTGGTGGAGAGCACCGACAGAGGAAAGTATATCGTGGGCCAATCCAATGCAGGAAAAGCATGCTATACAGATGTCGTATTGCTCCTTGTCCGCGGATGGGTATACGTTTTTGCTTATTGTGATCTGCTGTAGAACCAGCCCGTAATTCTCTAATGAGGGTAGTATCATTACGAGCGACACTTTTCCCGAATTCGATCTTACAACGCGGCAGTGTTCAGCTCTGGACGCACACCTTCTCACCCCACTCACAGCTTCTACTTCTTACAACTTGCCCATCATCAAGTTTCCAATCATCTCCCGTCCAGTGACCACAGTGGTCCTCCAGAGTGTCGGGAAGTCCAATGTACTTGAGAACGCTACGATTCTGTTAGCCATGTACTATCCAAGTACTGTCTTCATCTCCAGAACATAACAGGATAGAAAGACGGTAAAAGAGTCATCAAACTTACTGTCGGCGTACCCAAACCCAAGCATAGGCGGAATCCATCCCCTCGCATACTCCAACGCAAAGCACCCGCTGTCCATCTTATACTGCTTAACGTCGCCCCTAGTAAGATGATGCACACTTCCTTGAGGGTACACCTCGGCCTCGTAAATGCCCTTTCCAGGTCGGTAAGCCAGCTGCTCGCCCTTCAAGATGTGAAAGTAGTCATCCGCCGTATGCCGACCCGTATGACCCTCGGTTCCAATCGCCGTTCCAAAGACAATCAGATACTCAGTAATAGACGCGTGGATAATGTACATGGCGCCCATGGCACCACCCGCATTGTTGAAGATCCATTCTTCGTCCAGGTTGATGTGGGGACCGTGGGTTGCAGAGAGGGTAGATACAATGTGGGACACGACAGAAGCCGTGTCGTTTCCGTGGAGGGAAATGGCTTCCTGACTGAGACTGTGAAGTTCAGAAGGAGTGAAGATGTAGAACTTCTCAAGGTGCGAGTCCAGGCTGTACATGAGTGTTGTTAGGACGCCGAGGATGGCGCCGAGCGCGAGGAGAATACGCATCTTGGCTTGGTGCTGCCTCCGGTAAGGAATGTATAAGGTGAGAAAGAAGCCGACCGGATTCGACTATAAACTCTTTGCGAAGGAGTGTAATGTTTGTTTTTTGTTTCCGTTGCGCTGCACTTTATGAGGATCGTGAGGATTTTCTTCATTATCAGAACGCACGTGCCAGCCGGAATAGGAGAAGTCCGGGACCCCGGATCGTCAGCTCATGTGGAAGATGGCCTGTTGTCTGCTATGAGGATACCCGTGTTCCGGGTGGAAAGGAGCGATCTTGGCCCATCTAACAAACGGTGGTTATACTGTGCAGTCAGTTGCGTATGTTAGTCATCTCCTTTGCAGACAGGAAGAAAAAAGTGAAGATAAATGGGTATAGATTTTACAAATCAAAGCTGCCTACAACATTGAGAGTATTACCTCCTCTTCCATCTCCACCATTACTCTTGGGTGAATATTTGAAAAATGCGATATATGTTATCCCCGAGTCAGAATCTTTTCCCGTCCCTGACAACGCCATAAACCATGCAGAACGTCGTAAAAATCATGCTAGACGCGATTACACACGAACAATATGTCCAAACACCATATGCACATCAAAAAGTGTTGTCCCTGTAGATATCACCAGCCTCCGATGAAGGTAATGAAGCCATCCACCATGTTAATCCAATCCTGGCCGTTCAGTGTTCCCGCTTTTCTCTTCGCCCAGAGCACCTCCACCATCTTGCCCAGGTGAGCTCTTGCTTGCTCACCTGCCTCTCTCGTGCCGTCATTCCGCACCAGCTGCACCCTGCCACCAGCGAACTTTTCACTAAGATCGATCTTGAAACTGGCGTCACCGTCCGGTGGGCAGTACAGTTCCTCTCGTGTCGTCGCTGGCCCAATAACGCCCGGAGCAAGCTGCACAAGGTGTCCATGGATCAACACACTCTGTGTATGATTCCTCCTGGGCTTGAACAGCGAGCCGCGTACCGAGAAGCTGACCAGTCTTAGCAGTCCTGCGCCGTCCCCCAGGCGGATGATCCAGTCTTGAAAGGCCTCGTACATCATCTTGAACTCGACTTTGATGACCCACAGGTTATAGCTGTAGAAGATGGCGAGAGCTTCGGAGCGGACGAGGCGGGATACTGAAGCGAGTGCGTGCTGCATCTGGCCGTCAAAGGTAGAGATGCAGTATACGAGGGGTTTATCAATGACGAGGTTCTCACAATTGCGGTAGATCTGATGGCGGATCTCTGGTGGCAGTGTAACGAAGGTGGGTGGGGCGGACGTCATGGTCATGTCATTGGTAGGGAGTGTATCGATATCATGGACTGATGTGGCCTGGATATCTTCCATATGAATAATCTCTGCCTTTTCTTGGTGCAGGGCAATGTGTGCGGCCCAATCCTTCTGCACGTCGTTGGACCCATCGAGCTGGATGCGGTCGAGGCTGTGGTTTCTAGAATGGGACGGGGAAAGCGCGTAGTCGTCCATGTGCTCATCGTCGTCGGGTCTTTCCTCTGCATACAGCTGCAGACCTTCCAAACGCGTGGCATCGGGCAGAGTCGATACGCCGTACTGTTGCGAGTGCTCGGGAGTTGACGGAAACGAAGTGGCCTGGCTCTCGAAGCCGTGGCAGTCGCTGTGCTCGCTCCCATCTCCCAGCAAGTCGGCGTCGTCCGAGTCCGTGTCTGTATCGGAGCCTATGTCTATATCCACGTTGAGTCTGTATCTCGGGATCTTGGGCGGCAGCTGGTGCGTGGGCGAGCTGGGCGAAGGTAGCTGGGTGGCAGATCGTTTGCTCGAAGTGCGTACAATGGTACCCTTTTGGGACATGTTCCGTCCTCTCCGCTGGCTGGCGGCGCTATCCTCGCTGCTCGTACTCAGCTCGGGCGCGCCGTCACAGTAGCCGCACGGCGTTGTTTGCACACTAGTATCAAGAGGTTGGAGTTTTGGAGAGCGCGCTTTCATGGCTTCAGCATCGTCCGGGGGCGTCTGGCCCGTGACCGAGTATCTGCGCTGGGTGACCATTGTGAGTAGGGTTGAGGTGAGGCAGCGAGGGTGCGGAGTCAAGACTGGGAGAGCGAGAGGGAGAGGGCGCGTGGTGTGGTGTTACGTGGAGTCGGTCGAGTGGCAGGCTCCAGCAAAAAACCTTTCTTCTGCGCAGATGTGCTGGCAGGCTGCACGATGACCTTTTGCAGGCCCTCGACGCGCGCAATGGGCGAGGCTTGCGGGGTGCGTTAGGTAGCGCTGCGGATGCGGCCGAGTGGACTGAGAAGCGGATTCGCGAGTGGGGAGACACCACTTTTTTATCGATTACGCCGCCGGGAAAGATGAAGCTAGAGAACGATCACTGAAAACACTCGCGCAGACAGTCACGCAGCCTCGACGGTGTGGGCGAAGGGGTAGAGGTATACACTCGGCACAAACGGATCAGGAGGGAGATGAAGGGCGTAGCATGTTTGGCAACTGGGCAACAATGCCGCGTTTCATGACACCGCAATTTGTCGTCAATGTTGCACTGCCCACCCAGCGATTATCATGCTCCACCGCCAATTTCTCGTGTAACCAATCTTCGCATCTTCAATCTTCCATAATCGGCATGCCTCTCGAACCCATGGATGCATGCTTGGCTTATCGATGTATTGCGATCCGCGGCGCATAACGTAACGTCAGCACTTCGTCTCTTGACGGCCTTTTTGGGGAGCCTCTCGTATGGCAGGTGAAACGTGTTTTGCTTATCGTGTGCTCGGTCATCTGTTAGGACCTGATCCCAACTACAAAGTCGGGTCCACGAGGGTTGGGAGCTCAACAGTCGTCCAAATCTTCATCAGCAATTCGTCACGACCTGTTCACGCGATAGCCAAGGACATCAAGTTGCAACAATCACCGCCGCTGACTTCGGCGTTATGCGATAATCTATCTAGGTGAAGTTGAACGAATGTAGCTAACAAACATAGACTCGCGCCTGTCTCTAACGATCCTGTTGAAGGATATTGCAATCGCCCATCACACGAAGCTCGTGTTCTTCGGAGACACACGCATGTTGAAATGGTGCTCTTCCTATCAGCATTCTATCATCCTTCTACGCACCACCCTTCTTCTCCATTCCAACAGGCTCTCGAACCATAATGTCCAACGGGATGTTCCTACCACCCCTCTGCAGATTGATCCTTCTCGTCTCCTCGAAGCCAAACTTTCTGTAGATCGGAGGGTTCGTCTCATTGCTCGACTCCAGGTAGCACGGTCTTCCCTCGCGGTCTGCAAGCTTCGTTACATGTTCAATAAGCTTGCGAGCATGACCTTTACCACGGCCACTGGGCTTGGTACCTAGGTAAACAAGGTACCAGGCGTCATGCTCTCGCTCACCAAGCGCGCTATGCATAGTGTCGTGGAGGAGGGGCAGGAATTCGTCGAAGAAACGGCGTTTGCCTTCAGAGGAAAGGCGGTAGTTGAGACGCCACATGCCAGAGCGGAAAATCGTCAGGTAGTCGTCCATGTTCTGGCCGGGCGGCATCCTACGTGCGTGAGCTCCAAACCATACCAGCTTCACAGCATCGATAACTTACCACAGTGCGACTGCTTCGAAGTCGCCTACCGTAGTCACTAGTCCCTTGAGAATGTGAGCATACGTTATGTACTCAAGTATTTCGACATGCAATGCCCATTTCTGCTCTTCGGTCCAGTGCTCACGATCAGGCACGTCAATGAAGTACCTGGCAACATCGTCCTGGCCAAAGGCTTGCGCCAGACACTCAGCCGCCTGCTTGTACTCCGCAGCCGTAACGACGCGGACGCCGTCGGTGAGCGGAGGCAGAACAGTAGCGCCAGCACCATTTGTCTTTTGCTTCAGGATTCTGAAGCTAGCAGGTACCTCATTGACCCTAATGTTAGCAGACTTCAAGGTTGATGACTTGGTGTCCACTGTGTAATTACAGCTGACTGGCGTAACGGGAGAGAATGTTTTCGCCATGATTGCAGTTTTGACCGCAAGCTTCTACTAGTATTTAAGTGGGATCTGCCGCTTCGTTTGGTTATAGGGACAGTCGTGGAATTCGCCAGCGTGAGGTGTTCCCCGCAGGGCTTTGAACAGGATTCGGCGAAGGGGTGAGAGGTTAGTCACTTGAACCGCGGTATATCTAGATGAGCACCTGGAGTTCAAACAACACGACTAGATTGTGATTAGTCTGGTTGTGGCAATGGGTCGTCGTGGGCTGAGCAGGAGCCGTGACCGTCGATTGCCTGCCATGTAGTATACCTTTTCTGACTTCGCTTGGTGTTTACGTTTTAGCCGGACGATTAAGATCTCCCGTGTGAACTCTGGAGAGCTGCGATCTCGAGACGGTATCGACTCGAGATGGGTAGCGTAATGAAGTGAAGGCTTGACGTAGATCTACCGACATCAATGTAAGAGGCTAGATGAGCTCCCTCTTGATTTCAGGCTCGACAGACGTAGTGTGTCAGTCCGATGAGGTAGTTTTGCGTCGATAATATGCGCCTTGGGTGAACGATGTGCCAACCTTTATGTGTGTGTGGACGGTGCCAGTTGATGTATGGCTGCTTAGAGTTTGGACTTTGCTTTTTGACTCGCTGGCAGCTTTGTCACAAGACCAGTGGCAGCACTGCAGTACGATGCTTGGCTGATGTCGAGCAGCAGCGGGCGTCTTATGAAGGATCGCGAACGGAGGTCGGCTGCAGCGGGTTGCGTATGGCGTGGGGGTGCAGTGGCTAGTGACGTGAGGTGAGTGTAAGCTGACGGTCGGCACCCTGCGCCAGATGTAAGGCTTGTGTGTCTTTGTGGTGGAGTCAGAGATGGGAAGTCGGGAGTTTGATATACCTCCATCCACCCTGTACGATCGGCGCACCAAGCGCCGCCAGGTGGAGGTAAAGGTCATGCTTCACGGATGTAGCTCAACACGGGAGCTATCTTCGGACCAACCACTTAGGCTGTTACACATGCGAGTGTCCTTCTCATTCGTCCTGTGACCTTCGACTTGGTGTCGGGCCGAAGCGGCTCAACGTAGACGTTGCCCTGTGGCTTGCTTGCTAATCGTTTGGCGTTATAACTCGCAGCTTGCTTGCGAACTACACTTGGCGATAGAGAGTCAAGGCAGAGAGTACCGGGCTGACATCGGACGCCTGGCGGGAAACTGTGGGGTGGAGAGGAAGGGTTGCGTTGCACACCTCGGTTGTACCTCCTCAGAACAGGTAAGCGCAAAAGTAACACCAGCATTAGGCCTACGCTCTCTGGTAGCTAATGATAAAGCAAACACCCGGAATACTTCCGCTACATGATTGTCTGCGTCTGGCTCGGATGCTACTAATCTATCAGCTGGAGATATGCGGTAGGCGGGGCTAGGCTGGATCAACTGTCACGCAATGTTATTAGAACACAATGATAGGAGAGGAGCGGACCTTGATGCGCGCACGATAAAGCCACGACGACTAGTGTGCGTGGGGAATGATTCAATGGTCAATGACTGGATTAAATGGCAGTTGTGGTATCTAAGGAGGCCGAGCCTGCATGCACGTACCGCCTCACTTTCGGGAATGGGGTAATCTAGGCCAAGGATCTGGAAGCCGGTACGCTCGAATAGCATCCAAGGGATCGATGCACATATTACGGTGCTCTTCATGTCGTTGGGAAAGCTTGTCCATGCTTTTTACATGCGACGAATCTCTGTCTCTCCCATGTACTTCTCCAAACCAGAATCGAGGTGGTCCCACCATTCGAAAAGCATGCTTTCGCAGATGAGCTTGAACCACGGCGTGAACTTGAGCGACTTGTCCTGGAACATGGTCTTGAGGTCCTCCTGGGACACCCATCTTGAATCGCGGGCCTCGTTGGGGTTGACATTCAGGTCCACATCGGCCTTCATGAATAGGATGTAGTCAACTAATGATTCGTAAGTACCCGTCCACGTATCCAAGAGTCAGTAGCACAACTTACTCTCATGCTCGCCCCACTTGCCGTCACTAGGCGACTTGTAGTGTATCCGGGTGAGGAATTTGAAGTCGTCTATGGGCACTTGTTCGGCCTTGATGCCCAGTTCATGGTCCAGCTTGCGCACTGCTGCGCGACGCACGCCCTGGATCGATTCTTGCAGACCAACGCCAGTCTCTCCCGGTATGCCTAGCGGGTGCGAACAGCATGTGTTTGTCCACATATCCGGGAATGTAATCTTCTCGGTCGCGCGCTGCTGAAGAAGGAGACGGTTCTGGGAGTCGAAGAGGAAGACGGAGAATGCACGGTGAAGGAGGCCTCGATCGATGTTCTCCATCAAATGACCTGCAACATGTCAGTACCGGCCAATTGACGAATCGCGCTGTAGCCACTTACAGAGCTTCTTGGTCGCACTGCCGATTGGGATATCGTTGTTGTCCAGCACGATGCACACCTCGTCCATCAGCCGTATCTGCTCCTCGTCGTAGCCCTGGAGCGCATTGTCGCTCGTGGCCGAGTTGTGCGATCCTCCGATGAGGGTGGTGTTTACTTCGGGGAAGAGGCGCAGGACGTTCTCCGCCGTGATCTCAGGGTGCTGAGTGACAGTCTCGATGGTGCTCATGATTGCGAACCGACACGCGTGCAGGCGAGGGGAATTGAGGCGTAGAAAATATGTCCCGAGGATTAGGAGGGGCGGTCGGGGGGTATTGAACAAAGCGAGCACGCGCCCCTGTCCCCCATGCAGGGTTCCGCCTCCGCGGCGGTCTGGGTCAACTGGCAGTTCGCCAGTATGCATGTGGCAATGAGCAACGCACCAGATCACCATAGGAAAAGTTTTTGTTTGCAAGCGCTTTTGTCTTATTGTCTAGTTTTGACCGTTGCTCATCATGCTATACACTTTGCCGAAGCCATTGGGCTTTTCGATCCAGGTATCAATAACTCAGAAACTTTTCCGTAACCGGAAAACATGCGAATATGCTCGAAAAGACAAACCCCTGATAACAGTAAAGAAATCAACCAACTCCAAAAGTCCAGTATATACAAAGCGTCTTGCGCTTAAGCCACAGTGGCAGTCTTGTTCTTCTTGGCAACAGGCACCTCGGCCTGTGCATCGGCGGTAGCATCAAGCTCCCGCTTCTCTGAGACGCCGTTCAGCTCGGCCTCAGCCTGAGCGAACTTCTTCTTCTCTTCCTCGGTCATACCAGGAAGAAGGGGTACCTCCTCCTTAGCGTGAAGGTTGTTGTGGTAGGTACGGATGATCGAGTCGGTGTCGTCAAGAGCAATCTTGCGGATGTCCGCAATAGCCTTGATCTTGGAAGTGCACTCCTTGTACTGCGCGTCGGTCATCTTCAAGCCAAGCTGCTCAGCACGGCTCTTGATCGCGTTCCATCCAGTAAGCCTGCTGGCAAAGTGTACGTATCGGGACATGCCGAAATCTTGAGGGTTGATAATCTCGTATGTCGAAGGGTTGTTGAGAATGGCCTTAGCGTGGATACCAGCCTTGTGGGTGAAAGCACAGAATCCGGTGATGTAGTTCTGCTCAAGTTAGTACATGATCTGCCAAGTCTTGACTGCTGCACAGTAGTAGAACTCGCACTTACGTTGAAGGGAATGTTGACCTCAACAAGATCGGCAACCAGGTCCTCAACCTCCTTGAGAGCCTTGATGTTGTACTTGCTGGTGACATATTCGCGGTCCGCAACGATCATGCGGGCCATGAGACCTCCAAGAGGGGTGATTCCATTACGCTCACCAATACCAAGTACGGAGGTATCGATGTGAGTGGCACCAGCCTCTAGCGCGCAGAAAGCGTTCGCAATGGCGCAACCAGAGTCGTTGTGGAAATGTGTCTCAATGTCGCAAGAAACGACACCACGAAGAGTTCGTACGAGGTCGTATACCTGACGAGGAGATGCGCAACCAACGGTATCAGCGATACCAACACGGTCGACGCCAACCTTGTCGACAGCGCTGTAGATGGACAGAAGGTCGACGAGGTCTGAACGGAACGAGTCCTCAGAGCTGAATCGGATCTCCTTGCCCTTGCTCTTGACGAACTCGATGACCTCGAGCGCTGTGTTCTTGATGTATGTCATGTCCTTGCCGTGGCTGTGCTCGCGGAGGTACGCCGAGGTTCCGATGACGACATCGAGACCATCGACACCAGTCTCGACAGCGATTCGGGCATCGTCCATGTGGCATCGTACGTGAGTAAGGATCTTGGCTTTCAACTGGCACGTTGTCAGATTGCGTCCTCACCGCCAAAACAGGGCGAGAAAAAATTACGTACTCCGAGCTTGCAAAGAGCTTCACAGTCCCTTCTTGACTGCTCAGAGGCAGCAGGGCTGGTAACTTCAATGTCTAGATTTGTGGTCAGCTTCTGAAAGCTTCGCGCCAAGTGCCGCGGAGGGTAGCCGTACAGTCAACACCAAAGTTGTCAAGAGCTTTGGCAATCTTGATCTTGGCCTCGAGATCGAAGTAGGCGTTGGCGAATTGCTCGCCCTCTCTCAGTGTGCTCTCTGCACAGGCAAGTTAGCATTATTTTCAACTGCCAATAGTAAAACTTCAGTCGGCGCGAGTGCGCATCCGATAACGCTCGAGATAGGCGTTATGACGTACCGATAATCTTGAATCGGCCAACATTTGACAAGAAGTCGCCAACGGGCGCGTATGGGCTCTTGTGCGAAGGGTGAGGGTTCTGTCTGGTCTGAACGCCTGTGAAGCCTTCCTTGTTGCCGTTGGCGCCGTTGGTGCCATTGCTATGGCCGTTGGTAGCAGGTGTTTCTTCGGGTTGAGGACACATGTTGGGCAATTGATGTGGATGGGAATGAGGAGGTAGGAGGGATGGTGGATGAAGGGCGGTATTTGAATGCTGGGCAATCAATTCCAAGGTGAGTCAAGAAGGACAAAAATCTGCTGCGAAGAGCGATGATGAAAGCGCAGGGCCGGGATCGGGTCTGTAGCTCTGCGCTAGCCGCCTTCGTTCGCATGTGGGGTTGCCGTTTGGCGGCGGCCAACGAGATGACTCTGCTTTGAGGCACACAAGGCGGAGTAGACTTCGTTTTTCCGCTCTCAATCTGTTTTCTCTCCACAAACCTGGAGAAAGTGCGGCCGAGGCTCCAGACTGGATGCCTATCCTGGGTCAAGCAACGAACATCTGCACGCAGACCATGCCATTGGCGATCCACCTCACCGCCTCGTTACCCAGGCTCGGTGGTGATATTGGCCGCGGACTTGCTGCACGCGATACCAAGACACACTCAACATTTGGCATCTTCCAACATGTGCAGTCACAAATACAAAAAACAAAATACAGCGGTGGGTCGCTACACATGAGTCTGTCTAGAAAATATTTTCATCCCTTACGATAAGCATACACAGCTTTCCGCCAGTAGGTGTCACACAACCCCGCTTTGAGTCAAACAAGTCGTATGTACCAAGAGGCCTGCACCAGAGTGGTAGTCATGAGCGGAACTCTATGCATGGTCTATGTAGCACGGTACGGGTCGTCCCTGGTTTCCAGTCCCGTGGTACGACCTCAGGGTACGTACATACCTATCAGGTAGAAACACTTCAATAGCCGTGCGAGATCAAGAGCCTTATGTCTTAAGCTGTAAGATCAGACGTTCAAGTACCTTTCTGAGCCCTAGCACAAGCTCAAAGCCTAATGTGCTACTCTATTGCTTCCATCCCGCGTAGCTTTGAGATAAGCTGGTTGTTCTCAGGGTCATATGCAGGTACTTCCGTTCGACGTGGTGCATCGGACATAGCAAAGACCCTGATCTATACTTATTCTCCGCCTACATTACGCGTGCTAACCCTAGCGACCTGTGATGGACCCATGACCTGCGTTGTATTTAGGTCATGCACCTTGGTAGCTTTCATGATGATGGGTTTGGAAGACTGCAAGTTACAAGGGAGGTCTGAATATCAAATGCACCGTAAAACGGCAAGACAGAACAGTAATTAAATCAGAACTACATGGTATCACAAGCCCTGCAACCTGGTATCATCAAAAAGATTCCAAACGCCAACGTAAGCTGATTGTACGTGACAACAACGACCCTAGATGCTCTGCTCCATCTCCGTAATATAAAGCTTGATGTGACTCTCCATCTTGAGGTACTCATCATGGGCAGCGTGCACCTCGTTCTCAATGTTGTCCTTGAGTTCAGCCATCTTCTTCTCCGTCTGCTCAATGCGTACTCGCCTCCTCTCCATTTCACGCCCTTTCTCCCCTCGCTCCTCGGTCAGCTTCGCGTGCGTCTCTCGTAGCTCCTCCATCCGCTTACGCGCACGTTCCGCTTCCTCGTCGCCCTTGGTCTTGAGTTTGCTGGTTCGTGCGTTGATGTTGCCTAGCTGCTTCTGTAGGAGGCGCTCTTGTCGTTCCACATCCCGAACGTTGTTGCTTCGATCTGCCAATGCGTCTCGGTGTCTTGATGCCTTTGCCAACTCCTCCTCCTCGCGTGATAGATCGGCTTGTACATCTGTGAGTAGTCGTGTGCACGAAGTAACGTCAGTCGCAACTACAGCGAAGGAGTCGGTAGACGTTTGAAGGGCTCGAGCACGACGGTCCAGCATGTCGATCTGGGTCTTGTCTCCAGTGAGGCGGTCGCTTAGGTCTCGCAGTGATTCTTCCAGCGCTGTCGGGCTCTGTTGTGTGTAAGGCTTCAGTTTTACAACCTCGCGCTGCACATTCTCCTTGTTCTCGACCCTCTGCTGCAAGAGCTTCTTCAGCCTATCTTGCTCGGCTTTAGCACGCTCGAGTTTCTCTGCAACCGCCTCTTGACCCCTCTTCAACTCCAGCAGCCTGCTCTTGAGCTCGTTGTTGCGCTTTTCCTTCTCTTGCATGAGCCTTTGTGTCGCCGCACGGTTGCGCTCAAGCTCGGCCAATTGCATTTCCTTTGCCTGCTTGTCATCGTATAGTTGTTCGATTCGTAGTTTCGTGCGCTCCGCCTTGTTGAAGTGCTCATCTATGATCTCAGTTTGTGACTCTCGGAAGCGGATGAAATTAATCATGTAAGAGAAGATCTTGACTAGGCGACCGTGGGTAGGCTTGTAAAGGTCGTTGAAAGTGAAGTCGTGAATACCGCACTGAGCTCGTTAGTACTGGCAGGAAGGCCCGAATTCAGAGGCACTCACTTCGCGAAGAAGTTTCCTCAGGATGACAAAAAAGGCCATCAGGTCCCTTGTGTCGCTTGTATAGAGCCTCTCCGCGTCGCCACCACACATGTCTTCGGCGGCAGCGCGCATGGCCGGCGCAACAACTTCGCGTGTTGTGTTCATGAGTAGCTCGGCGAGCCATTCGAAGACCTTCTGGATGATTTGGGGATTCGGCTTCTGTAGATCTGAGACGGAAAACTGAATTCCGATGTCCGAGATGCAGCCTGCAATTTCATGGTCGGGCTATATCCGTCAGTAATGCGCAAAGTTGGACGAAATCTACGCCCATACCAGAGTCATAAATGCGTCGTGTTCGTTGACGGGCGGCGCACGTTGGTTGTGCTGAGTCGTTCGCGCCATACTCATGCGCCCGTTGTAAGACATATTGGGTTATTGCGCGATCTCAATCGGATGTGAGTGTCTTAGTCGTGTAGTGTAGGGCTGTTCGCTATCGTGGGGTGGTAATGTTCAGGCGGTGGGCGGTGTTTGTTTACAGGGTCCAACAGTTTGTTGGCACGGAAGGAGCGACCTCGGGTGCCGCCCTTCCGGATACAGTATCGCGTAACAGCGCATCGATCCATAACTCCACCGACAGCTCACACATTCTCCATCAGTTTGTACAAGATAAGCAATGCCCGTAGCCGCTATACGCGTCTTCACTCCTATGGCCGTACGATGCAAAACATCCGCCTTCCCTGCTTTTGGAGATCTAGCCAATAGAAAACGCTGATTATCAAGCCTGATTGGTCTGATGGGAACGATGCCCACACAGCAGATAGGACCGCAAGTGAGCACATCATGGCTCTCTAGTCTTCTTCAATATTCACCAAGTACTCGTTCGTTCTCATGCAAACTGAGCGAGTGCGAAAGAACTGATTTAGGACGAATATCAAAGTTTTTGCGGGCAACCCGACTCTCCATGGACAAGCGCAACACCTATCCGTGTTTGAAACAGAGCTGAGATTCTCTACATCACTCTCATTACTCGAGTCAATGTACGAGGTAACTGCAATATTCGAGATGTAATGGGCGATGGTCAACCATGCTACATAGCAAATATCTTGTGAAGTTTGGATTGACGAGTACACAATATAAGGTTGCCCAGGTCAGATTTAGGCTATGAGCTCGTAGTCTCATTGGAGATTCAAAATCATACACAAGACCTTCCAATGTATATAGACTCGCGCATGTCGGAGTGATGGACACACACATTTGCAATGTTTTGTGTATCGATATATCTCCACGTAGAGCATGAGCGCAGATGTCAAAACCAGAACCAGATAACCATACTCGGGGATACTGGATTCAAAGCCGGGTTGAAGACTGCACTGATGCTGGATACAAGATAGAGGAAACTTTCTCCAGGTAAGCAAAGGGCAAGCAAGTATCAGAATTTGTATCGAAACAACCAGGAAATGAGGCCTCCAGGACGCAAGTCTGGCGAGATGAAGGTTGCCTCCTCAGTCCATGGTGCGCGCACACCAACCACCATATGAGCTTTCTTCAGGCGATGCACTCGTACGGTTTCGAGCTTACTACTACCGTCCTGGCATGTTTTGTTTCGCATGGTTGGCGGGGTAGCTAAATGCCCATTGTTATTTGTGCGTGGAGCCAACCTCTCGCGAGCTACGGAGCTTCCACAGCGTCCATGCAAACGAGTATTGCCTGACTGTCGTAGCTGCTATGTTACGTGCAAGGTTCCGACTGTGGTGAATATGTCTACACGGCTCAGGATCGCAGAAGGTCCAACTCGATTGGCCATGTTCCATCAGGGTCAACTCCACAGGTGGGGCGGAGTCAGATCTCGGTACCGGAGACGTAGCTAATGCGTTTCCTGCATCTACTAAGATCTAAAATCAGAGATATCATCCAAACCTTCCCATCGTGGACGATGGATGCGATGGACCAAAAATTGATGACACCCACCCTACTTTTGAAGTCTGGTAGTGCGTTTCGTGCTCGAACCGCTCGGTTGACTTGTAAGAACGTCAAGTAGGTAAGTTTAGCCTCATTGTTAGGCGCCGATCTCTCGATAGTGTTGGATCTGGACACGTGCAAGCGTATGGTTTTAGGCTACGGCACGCTATGCGTTTCCCCAGACAAGGGAAACCTGCATGCTAGACGTAGTTGTGACGTTTTTCGGTCCCTGCAAATATGTTCCAGACGTCCACGGGTGGTGCGAAATACCAACGACACAAGAAGCGGAACCAAGTGCAGGTATTGCAACAGGCTGTACGAAGATACAAACGAGGTAAGACAGGATAAAACACAGCATCGTGCACTTGAAACACGAGCTTGCCACGCCTAGGTGGTTTCACGGCCTGTGAGTCTTGGAAGGACCGTTAGTTTTCAGACGAGAACTCAAAGCATGTGACTAGCCGTTTTTCCCGCCCGACAACGGTGCAGTCCGCAACGATAAGGAATCCCCGCGGAACGAATAGGACAGGTGCATGTTGGAGACACGGGTACCTGAGTGGAGGAGCGCACGACATTGTTGTCGACGCTCTTCTGGCCGGGACAGCTGCAGGAGGATTCGAAATCCCTGGCTAGACAATTGCGCCGTTGGCCTGCAAGACCGACGTGGCTGTCCATGTCCCGCTGAATTTTGGATATTCGATACTTCCCGCAGCACGGTGGCATGCACGCACGGTACCGTCGCGAGGTGTGTTGTCGCTGCAGAGGCCCTGGGCCTGACGAGATATGTTTTTTCCAGGCCATCGTCATTGAAGTGGCTCGTAGCCATGCGACCAGCTGAGAATGTTGGTCGAGAGATTGAGCTGTCCATGTCCTGGCCAGGCTGGGGCGCGTGATTGGCAGCTGGCTTGATGAGCGAAGCCCAGCTCCTGGGTGTGGGTGGCGTTCGGCGTTCGTGTCGAAGAGGCACTAGGCAGCTTTTAACGACAGGGCCTTTGAGCCGAGTTCATCGGCGCCGCCATGTCGAGATCGACCGGACGGCGTGGCAGAGTTTGGTTGTGGCAGACTTGTCGTGGTTCAGTGTTGGGCGGCGCAGGTCACAGACAGCGACGATGCCGTGGTACGGCATGGTGCACCGGGGCAGAAGCAAGGTGAATGTGCTATCGTAAAAGCAGTTACAGTCGCGCGACGGACAGGGCTGGCAAATGCCCGAAACAAAAGAAAGTTATTTTGGTGTGCCTGGTGGTGGGGATCGACATCAGCGAGGGTCGAGCCCACCAAACCAAGCCCTGAAGGCACGCCTGCACTGTGCAAGCCTGTTAGGAGTACGAGCGGATCGTCCCTTACATCACACACAGGCTGTGGCAGGGCATTCACAACCGGCGTCCTCGCTCGTTCCCACCTGCCTTCACATTCACATTCCTCCCCTTCGCCGTCCCTGACCAGACCTGACATCGCATTCACACCCACCCGCTCCAACGTTCGCGCCAAGAGCTACCCGTCGCCCCATCCAGCCCGCCCATCAATATGCAGCCCAACCGACCGTGCAGCCAGACTCCCGTATTCAGATAGCACGCATTATCGCTATCACGCACACACACGCACACGTCACGCCCGCGCCGCCCAACGCGACGGCCGCGACTCAACGCTCAACTGCATTTCTTTTCGACAGTCGCCGCTGCCCTGGCGCCCGCTCTCTCGCAGCTCCATGTGGCTGTTTGGGCGAAGACGCAGAAAGGCCGCTAAGTTCAAAGACGGACCCACTGAGGTTACAGACAGGAAGCGGCCTGTCGCAGAGCAAACCAACACGATTCAGACCAGCAATGGACCGCGACGAGGGCCCAGCCAGCGCCAGCGCCGCAGAAGGGGTAGTTCACGCTCCACTACCGCCTCGATGCGCGACGTTGAAAAGTCGCTTCCCGAGCCCGCCTTTGCGAAAGAGTGGCCCCCGTCGAGCGCCGAAGACATCACCGCCCTGCCCAACCAGCACCGCCTTGCTCACAGCCCGCACCTGCGCCCAATAACGCAGGAACACGCCGGCATCCCCTACAACTTCCACTCCTCGCACTCCCACCAAAGCCTGCCGCCCTCTGCAAAGGACCGTGGCAAGCTCCAGCGACCCCAGTCCATGCGCAGGGATCCGCCTACTGACTCTTCCCTGGTCCGCCGCAAGTCGAGCAAGAGGCGAAAAGAACATGATCACGTCCGCGAGGAGGAGATCCGCGCCATGTCATTCCCCATGCCTCAGAAACGTCCCGCTGCCAACTCTGGAGGCATGCTCCGCCGCGACAGCAAGAAGGTCAAGGGCGCCCTGAACCACCGCTTCGAGCGTCCCACGTCCAACGTATCGCTTCCCCTCGAAAACTCCATCCATTCATCCATGTCGGGCAATTCAGAGAACCGTGCCTTCCGCGTGAGTGCACTCGACATGTTCTCACCACGGCCAACCATCCGCGTCTCCGTCGGCTCCAACCACTACGGCAGTGACCGCATGTCACCAAACACCTACAGCGAAAAGTCCACACGTCGACCCATCAGCAGCAGTGCAGACGAGAAGGCGAGCAGGAGGACGAGCCGCATCGATGACCTCGCCGACGAACTCGATGCCGGTGCCCTACGCGATATTCTAGAACGAGACAAGAGACGGAGAGAAAAGAAGGCCAAGGCTGACCAGGAGCGGTTACGGAGAAGATTAGAACGTCGTGCAGAGAAACAGAATGCCATTGAAGCAAGAGGAACGCCTGCCACTCCCCGCAAGGAGGGTACAGGCATGGTTGGTCTTGGTATTGAGCGAGAGGCGCCTGCTCCCATGGAAGACGTCCGCCCATCTACACCACCTCAGCCGCAGCGGCTGAACATGCCTGTCACGCCTCGTACTAATGACAACACCCAGCTGCCGACACCGCTGGAAAGCCCTACTGAAGAGCCTGTAGTATCTAATGCTCGGGAAATTCGTTACTCAAAAGGCAGTGCTTCCGCACACGTACACACCCGCGGCCCATCCAACGCCTCGATTCTACCCGAGCTCATCTCGGAGAAGCTCGCGAACGATATGCCTGTAGACTCTATTGAGCATGGACCCGATCCCACTCGAAGCGGCTCGCTGCATCCCATTGACACCACCGATACCTTTGCCACTTCAAAGCCGGGCTCTTCTACACGCCGGCGTAGCTCAGAGGGCAGACGCATGGGTGTATTTGCATCACTATTCCGACGAGGGAAGCGCAACTCGCAAGAACAAGCACGACCCACGCCATCCGAGATCTCCTTTTCCAACACTTCGCGCGAGTCCATGTCTCGCCAACCTCTCCCAGCTCATTTGGTTAGAACTGCACCTCCTACTCAACCTATTCAAATTCGGAGACCTTCCAGCGTACCCCGACGGACAATGTCCAAATTCAGAGAGGATCTCCCAGAATTTCCTCTATCACCCCCAGATTCACGCGTGCAGTCACCAGAAGTCCCCTCGACGAGCATCATTGCTGCCCGCCGAAGAAGCCAACATCTTTCAGACCTTCAGGTTGGGTCGCTTCCCGGAGATCGATCTGATTCTCCTGTCAGTCCGGGTGCACCCATCAACGTCATGTCACAATCGCTCGCCTCAGTCGACTCCGAGGGATCTTGGCTCTCTGGCCGACCACCAAAGCGATCGTCAAACAGATCGCAGATGCGCTCCAGTCTGACGTCTTCTGCCCCGCTACGGAACGACGATTTCAATGCGTCCTACGAGGAGTTGGGCATGGCCGATGATGAATACTTCAAGAGATTGACCCCGCTGCCAGACCACAGAGGCCGATCCCCTTATGCAAGCGACGATCGGGGACGCAAGGCTAGCAGCACGCTTATGACGCTAGATGCTGCGGCTGAGTCCGACGAGGAGGTTGCGCCTCCATCCGAAGACCTGCCACCTGCTCAAGAAGGAGAATTCGTCCAGAACAGTGTCGGTCGTCAGCCTACCATTATCCACCGCCGGCCCCGCGTCAAGTCTACTGAAGGTCTCCTCAGCATGTTTCTAGACGACACGGAGGATACATCATCCAAAGTTGCCGATGTTGGGCAAGAGTCACCAGACTCGGGTTCACCAACTTCGCCAACGTCGGAGGAACCAGTGCTGGTACAGCGCGCTAAGAGCGTCGATCTCGGTAAAGGCCATGGTCACGTTCGTCACCTCAGCGCTGGTTCCGCAAGACTTCTAGATATCCAGAAGCGATCGGGTACACCAGTACACGGCCGGTCGCCCAGGATGTCTGAGCAGGAGTAAAACACCCGTTCCTAACGATTGATTTCTTCCAGGAACATGCATGCATGCCAGCCACGCCATTCATTTTGCTTTCCTTTGTATCTTGTCACTCCTTTACATTTCCTTACACGTCTCTCCCCTAACTACAGCCACTCATTCGAATTTCCTTACCTGTTTGTTGCTTTTTTCTGGCTTGGCTGCATGCGTTCCTGGACCAATCGACCGTTCGGACGGACGTGCTCCCTCGGATTACTCCACTGGATTTGGATCATCTTCCAGACTGCATACATAGCGTGGCGTTGGCATTTGTTTCAAAGTTTTTTTTTTCTGCGTGATACCACAAGCTGCCTGGGGCTGCTTCTGTGATACCCTCTTTTCGGGTTGTGTTCTTTTGGGCGTGTAAGGAAATATCTGTAGTATATAGACGGGCTTGAAGCCTGGATTTGGGTCATATGGACTGCCACATTGTATAAGGTTTAGTTAGGGCAGATACCACGAGCATGGCGTCGAGAAGATGCTGCGTTCACCACTCTTTATGAAGAGAGCTTAGTTTAAATCAGCTGTATCAGCTTTGTATATTCTCACATTGGATCTCGAATAAGCCTTTCAGCGTTCTGTGACGTAGTGCGCACGTGTTTGAGCGATTCCACGTGGTGCTGCTAGGGTGCATGCAAGGGGTCGCAGTAACTCTAGAATGCGTCGCACAACACAGAGCAGACTGCTACATGGCTATAGTGTACATGACAGCCAAGTTTGCCCCGTTGTTGTCTTCGTTGGCCGTATCCGGTATTGGAGGCTGTACACAGGAGGCATGTTGCCGTCGCCTTGCCTAACGAAGAAGGCAGACCCTGGTGGGGCAAATCGGGCGGTCGGGCAAGCACGTCATCTATCATGGCAGCCCCTCTGCGGCGCAAGTGTACAGTAATCCGCGCTTTATCATCATAACGCCAGACCTAAGAACCCTTTAGAAACCCTACTCCGTCGACCATCCCAAATACACACAAATCCTTGATATTGTAAGTAACGCCTTCCCTATCTCCGCTCACATTTCCCGGCATCTCTACGAGTCTTCGATTTGCGCAGGGACTCGAACGGCTTTGCCGAAAAATAAGCGCATCAGAATTGTTATCGGCAACGGCGGCCAGTTCAGTCCATCAGCCGAGTTCTTTGAAATCGCCCTTCCCCTGCTGTCTAACCACGCTTCTACATATACTATGTTCGCGCCGTCGTCTTTCAGAGCTACCAGAACACTGCTCACATCTGCGCGCCTGCAAACAGCTATCAACCCCACATCCACCGCAAACCTCTACCGACCACTCTTCACCCAGAAGTTCTTTCACAACACCGCCAAAATGAGCGAAGACCACAAGGGCGTACACAACCTCAAGAAGTAAGTTGACTTGCTGTCGCATCTCACATGCGATGCACGACGTCATATCCGCTGAACATGTACTGACGTGACGGCATTGTAGCAAGGAGCAGTTCGAGGAGGTCATGGCAGTCAAGGACAGCCTCATGGTCGTCGACTGCTTCGCGACATGGTGCGGCCCTTGTAAAGTGATCGCTCCCCAGGTCGTCAAGTAAGTTCTGCCCTGCCGTGAAAACCACCCGCCGCTAACCGTTCGCTAGGTTCTCTGAGAAGTACCCCAACGCGCGCTTCTACAAGCTCGATGTCGACGAAGCCTCCGACGTTGCAGGTGACCTCGGTATCCGCGCCATGCCTACCTTCATCCTTTTCAAGAACGGAACCAAGGTCGCCGAGGTCGTTGGCGCCAACCCCAAGGCTCTCGAGACCGCTATCCAGAACAACATCGATGCATAGAGCGCACAATCGAAGCCGCCCCGCAAATACAGACGATCGCATCCAGCACCAGACTAGGCTTGGACATTGAGTAGAGGGATACTGTTTTGTTGAGGGTCAAATCATGGGCAGCAGGTGGCCGAATGGAATTATGATAACGTTTTTCAAATACCAACCGCTACATTCTCACATGTCACAAACCCAACTTGGACTTGCTCAATGATTAACTCACGCGCCTGCTCAAGAGAACCAAAAGTCGATACATTGTTAACCATTCTGACACTGGCGTGGTGGCATCGGCAATAGCGCACTGGAAACCTCGTTTGCAGTCTGTTTGAAGAGAGAGTGAATTCGACAGCATTCTGAGCAGTATGCGATCCGCATGCATTCGGAAAAGAAAACTGAAGATTCACAAGCTCTCAATCCATGTCCAAACCTCTTCCGCACCTCTTTCCCACTCAATATGATTCTGCAAATGATGCGCTACTCCTTTCACAACTTTGAATACAACACCGCCCCATTCTCCATCACCGTTTTCCATGACACGCACATCATACTTGCTGATACCATCCAATTTTCCAGATCTGACGCAATCGCACAACGCAGCACGGTAACGTTTCGCTGCATCAAGTAATACTGATGGTGTGCAGAGGACGTCTAACTCTGCCGCTAGAACCAAAAATCGTGGCATAACAGTAGTTTCGCTTCCATCTTCGTTAGTCGAATGTTCCAACTTCCATCCGGTAATAGACTTGAGTACGTCTGGTCCAGTCACGAAAGGAAAGAGTGCTTGCATCGGCCAGCCCATGGATTCGTAGGGGCTGAGAAGGCGTTCCAGATCTTTGACGACAGAAGTCGGTGTTGAGGGTGAGAAGAAGGCGTCATGAACCTGCTTGGTTGTCGCTAAAATGTATCTTGGGTGCATGAAACGGTAGAGGAAGTTCAGCGGCGCAGAAAGAGCCCAGAATTTATAGCATGTCCACCTGTTTTCTAGTCAGTATCCACAAGTTACATCAGCGCAGAGATGGACTTACGATCCGAATCCTGGTACCGCAGCAAACATACAGAAGCCCTGGACCCTCAACAACCCTCTGCTTAGCACCCACTGGCTCAGCGCTCCACCCGCCGAATGTGCGATCAACACGACACTAATCTTCTCTGCAACTTTTCTCCGCTCACCCTCGAGTCTCTCGACTTCCTTAATGCCTGCTACAAGGTCTTCTGCAATGCAACCTCGACTTGTGAAATACATCTTCCAGAAGCCAGGATACCAGCTGCCGCCATGTCCACGATAGCTCACAGCATAGCAAGGATATCCACGAGATGAGAAGAAGAGCATATATGAAATCCAGATAGCGGCGCAGCCGAAGCCGCCATGGGCGAAGAAAAGGGGTGGTTTGGTGGACGGGGATCGAGGGAGGGCTGAAAGGAGCTCGAGGGAACCGGACGGGGTTGAGATGTAGGTTCTTCTTATGCCATCTGGCACTCGTGTGGGAGGCGGTGGGTTGGGATTTGGCGCGCGCCATTGCAAGGCGAAGGGTCCGAACGGCATCTTGATCTTTCTACAAGCAAGAACAATGTGTCGGATGTTTCAATGAACGATGCTTATATTCACGAGGTACAGCGAGTGAATAGTGTTTGAGTTTCTTGCATGCAGTGACAGCACTAGTGTTAGTCATGCTTATGTGAATGTCATGTATGTGCGTAACGGCTGTTCAGCCGCACACACTGTAGCCTAGGCGAAGTGAACGGTGACATTGTAAGATGTGACGCTGAACTGGTTTCGGGGATTCTAGTGGGGAATATATCGCTACTTTCAGGATCGGGTATGATCGCATGATGCATGCTTGTATTTGTGCATATGGAACTGAAAGGTGAGGTTTCAAAGTTTGGGTCAAAGAAGAAGGCGAATTCATGAAGCTGGTGGGGTCGTACCAGGTCGTGGGAACACCACTGGATACTTCATCATCTTTGCAACTTGTAGTCATGTAAATACATTATCGTTCGGTCTTCTTGATCTTTCTGTTGTTTCCAGCCTGGTTCGACTCGAAATACAGAAGGGGTTGTGGTGTGCGAAGACACTGGTCGTATGTACATGGTATGGCGCTTTTGCACTAGCATCTTCTTCGACGCATCTCGCGCTGCTATTCAACTTTTAATTCTCCGCAGTCTCAATAATTGCCAAACCATATCAGTTATTCGAACGCAGTTTCCCTGTTAGCCAGCGTTCTTCATTGGTCTTTCTGCTGGCGCCCAAACTCTCGGCCCCGACGAAAGGGGTTGTGAACTTTCATCCAGTGCCTGACGCGATCTCGCTTCGAATCACTGCGTTGCATACCTGAGACCATCTGCAAGCCGCCGAGAGCTGGCTGGTACATGTCAACACTGATGGTTGGCACACGTTCAGGTGTGCCGTAGTGTTCAGGCATAGTTGGCTCGTATGCAAGAACAGGCACGTGCGAATTGGAGATGATGTCGGGTTGTGAATGTTTGTAATTTGGCTTAATTGCGGATTTAGGGTGGGTCAGAGCATTGGCAGCTGCGGAGTGTCGTTCCGGAACGGTCAGACATGATTTTTGAAACTGGGTATCGACTTGCTGCGGTTCGTGTTCGTTGTGAAAGTTTTCAGGGAGATAGGAATCCGGCTCGATGACAGGAAGGTCTTGATCAGAATCATACTCGGGTGGTGGCGCGGGTAGTGGGTGGTCTAACCGGAGATAGTCTTCTGTTGTCGGCCGACGTATGATGCTGCGTTCATTATTATGCATAGCACCTGCTAACCGTCCTTCAATGTATTGACCGTGTATCGGATATGGCGGTGATTGAAGGACATCCTGATCTCTTCTGCTCCCAGCGAGTATTGGTTTAACATACTTGTTGTGGTCGGGCATGTCGATGGGATGCTGTTGTTCCGTAGACCTCATGTCGCACATGAAAGTATCGTATGTGTATGACAATGGTTGTGGCTGGCTGATGATGTTCTCCACAGCAGTTCCAGACTGACTTTGTGGGCCAGTTTCATCTTCAGAATTATCATCCCATGGATATCGGTTTGTGCGCACAGTCGGCCTTGTGATAGCAGAGAAGGGTGGCGATGGTAGCGGCCTTGGTGTTGTATATACAGACGAAGAATTATTTGAGCACCTCATGCGCGAGGTCGTACTAGGACGTGACAAAGGAGATAAAGCTCTCGCTGCTGATGTCGTGTGGATTGAATCCATGACCTGTGTGTCTTACTCAAATAACCTGTCACTATTTTGCCGTGATGAAAGCTACAGATTCGACCCACGAATCTGCTGAGTTAAGGCTGGACGATTGCTTGTCTGGTGGAATAACAACTTGCTAGTGGAGACTAGATGTATCGTAAGGTAACGTAGCACAGTAAAGGCGTCGTGAAAGCCTGACATGCTCATGGTGTAGACAAAGCAAGCCATTACTGTGAATAAAGTAATGCGACCTGCAGGCGCCCGATCTAGCAGATTCACTGTACTGCAATGCTGTCAATACTTGAACAACGGTTCGCTAGGTAAGACCATCAATATGGAGAGTCTGTCACATCCTGACATTATGCGCTTGATCCGAGTCTAAGCGCCAGCGGCTGAGCTTCCAGAGACCGGCAGACGCTGAATGTTCCATTCTAGTATTCACAAGTTGCTTGTACCCTGATGCATGTCTTTTGAACCTACGAAAAGGGGATGTCGTCAACTCCGTCTTCCACCATCCTACCCAAGTCAACACCTAGCCGCCATGTACTCACCACTCATTCAAAATACTGAAAATGTCCGTTATACGATACCGGCACCTGCCACCAGCAGCCGATGGAACAACGCTCGAGAGTACAGGCGGAGAGTACAGCGAGCGCCTCAAGTCGATCCTCACTTTGATAGTTCTATCATAGACGCAGAGCAACATGCTGAGTTTTGGGTGCGGAAGCTTGTCCTGGCCATGGTCAATCTCGAGGACATCAAAGATCCCACAGACTCGAGCGCAGCCAAGTTATTTCGTCCGGAAGCGTACGACTCCCTACTCCTCGAAGCAACATGTCGTGAGATCTTCCTAGCATTGATCGACCGGTGCAAGAATGGCTTCCGAGGACCAGCGCAATTCAACAAAGCGCTAAAACCTCACCGAGGCCTCGAAGCTGATGCTGATGCGACATGCGCACAACGTTTGCAGAACGTAGTGAACGCACTGCTATTGAATAAAAGAGTCGCGAAAGACGTGTTATTCGAAGACTGGAAGATCCGATTACTTGTGAACCATCCTTTGGCTTATGATAGAGAGAAGGATTCGCAGAAGGGCTCGAACGATCAGCGAAGAAGACGACTAGAATCTGAAAGAGAGAAGCTGCGGAGAACCGAAGAGGAGCTGCTCGCTTATCGCTCGGATTTGAAAGGGTCGTAGTGGCGACAGCAGAGGGGTGGAGGGGCGGATGCAGGTGCGGTAGGACGCCCGGGTATCTCGGTATGTCTGGACTACGGTCATCAGTAACGACGCAAACAGCTTGATGTAGTCAACATCCGAAGCAATTGTTATCTATCGAAACAGCATTTCTAGGCGTACACCATGTTTCGTAGGTTTGCCAACCGTTAGCAACGTAGGCCTAGGTCTTCACTGTGTCTGCACTGTGTCTGTGAGGTGGAAGGCGAAGGTGGTTGCAACACCTCGAGAGCAGTCTTGATGGCCATTTCATACTGGGCAATCTGCGCAAGTACCGTGTAGATGTAGTTGCAAATGCTTTTGGGTCGCTGTACAGGTGGGCGGGTGAGAGGAGTTTACACCAGTCAAAAGCTGCTTAGCTGAGCGGGGTGTGCTTGGCGCTCACAGGCTGAGGGTGCAGCTTGCTTCGTCCTTCATTCTCGACCCTCAAAGCTGCTATGGAACCTTCTTTCCCTTCTGCGTCTGGCTTCATACCTATCCATCCCATAGCGTTTGTTCATGCCAGATATATGAGTATGACAATCTTGTCTACTTCACCAGCATCGAGTGTTCACTGAGAGTCTACTGCGACGATACCCGATGATCTCTTACACATTCAGGGGTGGAGCCAGGGTAAAGATACTCTTTCGCGTTTTCTTGGGCAATGCGCACGCGACTTGTATCTTCTGCGTAAGGGTTGCCACATTGCTTGATGAGGAAGGTCGCGGTATAGAGTAGGGATGTCAAGATATTGTCAGATCTTGGATCTTTTACAGCCTTGGATTGCTATCAAGTGGCCAACAGCCCCTCTACATCTCTTTGACACGTTTCATTGGATATTACGTGCTTGGCCTGGCGAAGTGGTGCTTGCCAAGGTCAGGTCGCAAACGTTCAAGAATGGCGCAGGCTTAGTATCGCTCGGCGCCAACCGCATATCCGGATACCCAAGAAATCCAAGAAAGCAGGATGAAATTCGAGCGAGTACCGAACGCCGTCCAGAGAAGATTATCTCTGGGCGATCAGGGTAGTGGAAGGGTTGTTTGGTGCCGAGAACGTCGTGAATGGGAATACAGTTCCACGACTTTGCTGAATGAGGCAGCTCGAAAACGAAAGGAACAAGGCGTAGAGCCTTATATAATGAGTATGTAACAGTGATCCGGACAGTTCTATCGCATTCTCACTCGTCGCCATGTCTACAGGCGCCAACCTGGAGATAGTTGATGCCGCTCTGGCAAATGTGCACGCCCCTCACAACAACACAAGGGGCAGTGTGAGTCTGGAAAAGCAAGATAAGTTTGTGTCGACTTCTGAGAGCCTTCTTGGCCCTAATGGGGAGCAATACCCTACCGATGAAGACTGGCAACAGCTCCGCCGCGTATATGGCAAAGTCAACTGGATGAGTACGTGCATTTTCTTCACGAGGCTTTGTGTAGCATGTGCTAACGTCCGAAACTACTATTAGTCTACGTTATTGGTATTGTGGAGATGTGTGAGCGTTTTGCTTACTACGGAACCACCGCGGTATTTGTCAACTTCATTCAGAGAGACCTGCCTACTTCAGGACCTTTCCCGGAAGCAGGCGCTGCAGGTGATGGGCAGCCTGGTGCACTTGGAATGGGCCAGCGCGCTAGTACTGGCCTCGTCCAATTCAACTCCTTCTTCTCCTACATCATGCCCCTAGTCGGTTAGTATGCTCTTTGTTCAAGAGCGATCATCGTACTAAATCCTTTCTCTAGGCGGATGGGTTGCAGATGAATACTGGGGAAAATTCAAAACGATATATTTTGCGATTGGAGTCGCAACCCTCGGACATGTCTTGATCATCATCGCCGC